TTTGATCCCTAAGATTACTGGTGCTTCTGCCTTGTCGGATTTCAGACCGGTGTCCCTATGTAATACTATATATAAGGTGATCTCGAAAGTGTTGGCTCATCGTCTCAAGATGATAACAAAGGGTGCAGTTTAACAAAATCAAGTCGGCTTTGTAACAGGAAGAGTTCTCAGCGATAATGTCCTTCTAGCTTCTGAGCTGGTGGCGGATTTTCATAAAAAGGGAAGAATTTCGAGAGGATGTCTTCAGGTGGACATCACCAAGGCTTATGATAGTGTTGAATGGGAGTTTATCTTAAACATTCTTTTAGCTTTGCAGCTGCCGCACATTTTTATTGATTGGATCAGGGCTTGTATCTCCTCGACACATTATTCAGTTTCCTTGAATGGTGAGCTTGCAGGTTTTTTTCCAGGGAGGAAGGGGTTGAGGCAAGGTGATCCTATTTCCTCGTCTTTGTTTGTTTTGGCTATGGATGTTCTGTCAAAAGAGCTAGATTTGGCAGCGAGAGAAGGGAAATTCCAATTGCATCCAAAATGTGACCATCCTCTTATCACTCATCTGAGCTTTGCGGATGATCTTCTTATTTTCTTTGATGGGTCTTCGGAATCTCTGAGAGGCATTATGCAGGTTCTGCGTGATTTTCAAAGGAGGTCAGGTTTGGCTCTTAATCTGAGGAAAACAAGTGTATTTGTGGATGGAGATGACAGAGACACTGCTCAGTCGTTAGCTGCTGAATTTAGACTGACTCAGGGGTCACTCCCAGTGAAGTACTTGGGTTTGCCTCTGTCTTCTCATCGGTTAGGAAGAGTGGGATATCAGCCCCTACTGGATAAAGTCAGACAAAGGATCTCTACCTGGACAGCAAGACATCTTTCCTTTGCAGGGAGACTTCAATTGCTTCAGTCGGTTATTTATAGTATTATCAACTTTTGGGCTGCGGTTTTTCCCTTGACTAAGGGCTGTTTGGAAGAACTTGAGCGTATGTGTAGTGCATTTCTTTGGTCAGGAGCACCAAATTCGGCAAGGGGAGCTAAGGTCTCGTGGGAATCTGTTTGCACTCCCAAAGACACCGGTGGCTTGGGTTTAAAGAGGCTAGTCGGTTTGAATGAAGTCTACGGACTTAAACTTATTTGGAAACTCTTTAATGGCAGTGATTCTCTCTGGGTGGCATGGATAAAGAGTCATTTAATGGCAGACAATTTGTTTTGGATTTCTGATTTCACTAATAAAGGGAGTTGGATTTGGAGGAGACTTATGAAATTAAGGGAAACTGCTAGACCCTTTATTCTGTGCCAAGTGCAATCGGGTCATAAAGCTTCCTTTTGGCATGATAATTGGACTCACAATGGAGACCTTTTAAGTGTCACGGGACCTCTGGGACTTCAATATTCAGGAATCCCTCTTGATGCCTCAGTGTTTTCGGTGGTGGCTGAGACAGGATGGAATATATCACGAAGCAGGAACCCCACTCTTTCTGCTTTGCGAGATGCGCTTCCAGCTCAGACCCCTGATTTTAATTCAAATGAGGATGATTACTTTTTATGGCGGAACAACATCTTAGGCCAGCCCTCAAATTTCTCTACATCTGCGATTTGGAAGACACTTCATCCAGACCCTCCTGCAGTGAATTGGTTTCAAATTGTTTGGTTCAAAAAACGGATTCCCAAGCATGCTTTTATTACCTGGTTGGTTATGAGAGACAGGATGTCGACCAGAGATAAGCTCAGGTATTGGGGACTGCAAGTCCCAGCAGAATGTTTGCTATGTGGAGCTGCGGTTGAAACAACCGCTCACCTTTTTTTCGAGTGTCATTATTCTCAAGAGATATGGAGTGGTTTAATTGCTGAATCGGGACTGGCTTTCCCTCTTACGTTGGAAGATATGGTGCAGTGGTTTCATTGTCTAACGGGGGATAAAAAGTTCAAAACAATTGTCAAACTGATCTTCCAAGGAGTTATATATTATGTGTGGAAGGAACGTAACGCCCGCCTTCACTCGAGCAACCTCCGTCCAGTTACTTTGGTGGTAAAGGAGATAAAGCTTCAGATTAGAGCAAAACTTTTGGGTTTGGATAGAGAGTTGGATCCTCTTATGAGATATTCAAGTCCTATCGTCTCAACCCAACAAAGCAGTCCATCCTATCTTTCTGTTTGGTTTGGACGATTTCAAGTCTAATCGCCATTT